CAAGTCGAATATAAATTATGCCTTACCATGTTTAAAAAGATTCAAAAATAAAATGATGGAAGATACTATAGTAATACCACAACAGGACCAGTTTACATCAATGTCCCCCAAAGTAAAAAAACACTCCTCGCGTAATTGTAAATGCCCAACACGAAAAGACAATTGAGAATGAAACATTTCGACGGTAATGGCAGGTATTTTGATTCCTGGATGGAGATGTGAAACGCTTCCAACCACCATGAGTTTCCTACATGTTAAATGAACACTGTAATAATATAATGTATGTGACGTTTTAGTGGTAATGGTAAAATTTTATGATGCTGTTTTACAATGATGATTACTGATAATCAGTTTTATGGAAACTATATTACAATTATGTTGTCTTGCAACTATGATTTTACAAAACTTTCTTATAAATAATAAATTTATACGAGTTTTTTATATATAATGATAAACTTTGTGATGCTATGGTAATTTTTTTTATGTTTTGCAACTACCTGATGATACGCAAATTTGCTGTTTATTCAAGATTTTTATGGATTATGCTGTTTATGTGAGTTATTCTCAGTTATCCTGTTTTTCGAGATTTTTATTGGTTATTTGCAATTTTACGCTGTTATTTGAGATATTATTGGTTTTTCGCAATTTTGCTGTACATCTTGATACTGAACTTGAGTCCAAGGACGGACTTTTCTTTTCCCCGTAAGTAATGTTACGAAGGTAACAATCTTAGTCAAGCGTGCAATTATTGTGAAGGTAGCAACGATACTCACTCAAGCGTATAGTTAGAAAGAAACAATACATGATCAAGCGAGAAGATTAATTACGAAACCATGAAAACATGAGTAGAGACCGTTGAACCGAGACGTGTCTTATGGTTTCGAAAACAATATAAAAAGGAGAACATATATGATTATATATGAGGATATAGAGGATAACATGAGAAATATATATGAGGAGAATATATGAGAAATATATATGAGGAGAATATATGAGGGTATAGAGGATAATATAAGAAATATATATGATTATATACAGAAGGGTATAGAGAAGATATATGTGTAGTACAATAGTATGTAATATAGTGGGAGAATTATATAGGAGGATTAGTTGTATCAATACGCAATATTTGAGTTAAACAATAATTAAATAACACTTTGTATCAGTGGTTAGTATTCTACGCGTAACCTTTATTGGAGTTTGGCAATTACCCATTGAGTAATTGGGAAACATTACATAACAGGCGCAGACCGACGCGTAACAGAAGTGAGTATTTCAATCTTAACAAACTTTTGATGATTTACCTCCAAGCCATATTTTCACAAGTAAAAATATATCTGCATATGCTATATTATTGCAGTTCAAGTTTTTACCATTTTATGTTGGTTGCACAGTGAATTTCAAAATTGCCGACAACTACTTTGAGCTGACCCGAAAAAACCGCTTTGACTGGATGAAAGTAAAATGTTTCCTGACTCCAAAAATGTAATACTTGAAATCAAACTATTTTGTCTGAGAAAATAAATTTGATTTTAAGTTTTAACATATTTGCACAATATGGCAAAATGACAGCTTTTCAAATTTTACATTTTTACAGCATTCAAAAACATTTTAAAACTAATATTTATTATTGCAAGCATACACATATATATAACAAAGACAAATATGGTTACTTGGACTCAATTTAAAACTTCTATTTGAGGATTCTAACTTTCTCTGAAACATAAGTGTGCCTCAAAGGTGCTAAAATTACTTTATGAAAAAATTCCGAGAACCGCCAGTGTACACTAGACACCAACAACTTTAAACTTTTTTTAGAAAAATCTATTGCTTCTGAGTTTAGGATCACCCAACTTTGTAATGCCAGAAGACAGCAGCATTCAAATTATAGAACAAATTTTCAGAATAATGATCTATTACACAATGTTGTAGAGCATTATATTAAAATTAAGATATACAGTTTGATTGGTCTGCTGCATGTGCCTTAAGAAGTCTACTCGACCTGTTACAAGCTTTTTGATCAAAATAGTTCAGACTCTCTACCAAAAAATAATTGATTTTGATGACCCTTATGTACTTAGAGATTTGTGTAAACCTTGTTGTTCTGCTTTTAGAGCAAATGATGAATGAGAAGAGGTACTAATACCAGCTTTAGACAACTTTGAGAAAATTAAAGTCAAGCCCTAACACGAGGTGAACATTGGGAATCCCTAATTTGTCAAATTGGCAGCTTGAAGTTAAAAGAATAACATCCTATGGAAGACACCTTAAAGCTTTCTGCTGCACAAGTTAATTGAAGATGTTCTACTTGCCTCTCACTAATTAAGAAAGGGTTGCAACATAATTTTACAACTGCAACATTTAGAGAAAACATGAGAGTTGTCAACTGGAGATTTAAAAGTTGCTGAACCAATTACTTGCGCACCAAGTACTTTGGATCAGATCAGATCAATCGGGTCAGATCAGATTGGATCAGATCTGATCAATTAGATTAGATATGAAAAAAGCCAAAAGGTTTGAAAATATGGTACTTGAGCCTCTTCTTGCTTTGGGTATGAAACTTATGTGTTAGAGTTGATTCCACCTCTAGAGCTGCATACTGTTACTAGGACTAGTCAATAATTTGCTTAAAATCTCGAAGGAATCTTGGAAGAAACCAGATGATATGTTGCAAGTTTTACACATTTAACCCCAGGTTTATCATGGTTATCATAACTGTTACAAGCTTTTGTGAACGTGAACATCATCCAAAATCTTGCTGAAAAAATTGAGGCTTTCTAAGTTTTTGTTGTCATTGAAACATTTTGCTCATTCAGTACTGTTGTATCTGCATATTTTGGAAAAAGTCATACACAAAAAAAAGTCACACGCTGAAAACATTAATAGTTTCCGGGCATCTAGCTCTTCAAAAACCCAGTAACTCCAAAAATTCATGTTGTATTTTTCTAAATCAAGGACTTCCTTGAACTTAATCTCTTAGCTTGTTCATTATCAATGCATTGAAGTAATTCATCACAAGTTTTAGTGCTCAATGGTTGCAATATGGATGCGATATAAGAGATATAAATGTGATATGTAATTCCTAATTACTCACTCAGATTATGAAGCTTTGTAATACTTTGAGAATCTTATTATCATGAACATCTATAAATTATGTAATTATATTGTTTACAAGAATCTGTTTTAAAGAATTAAAAAGAAAAAAAAACTAAATTCAACAATAACAAAAAAAAAAAAAATTAATCTATATATTGAAAAAGAACAGCAACTAAAATTTTAAAAGTAGCACTAAACGAGTTAAAAGTATAGAGTTCCATATAATTCAGTTAAGTAACAGTTGATTTTAATATCCTTTTGCCAAGGCTAGATATAAAAACTTGAATGAATTTTATCTTTTTCAATCAAAGGTAATGGCTACGCATTTTTTATGCCAAATAAAATTAACAAAAAATAAAACAAGACATTTTAGAACAAAGCTCATTGCAATGTATAGCAAAGCAGTTTATTCAGTATTGCTTTAATGGTTCAGCGAACCATTAAAGCAAAAATGTTTAAAAGCGAAAAGATGTTAAAGCAAATGTTTTCTTTTCAAAAATATTTAAAAAAAAGAAAAGATGTTAAAGGAAATATTTTTTTTTTAAAAATACCATTATAATATAAATATATAAATATAAATAAAATGTCTGGTTTTTATCTTTGTTTTTAAAACGTTGCATTTAAATAACTTTTTATTAATAATTTAAATAACTTTTTAATAATAATTTAAATAAATATTTTATTAATAATTTAAATAAATATTTTAAATGTAACATTATTATTAATTTTACTACTTTAAATATATTTAATATAAAAAAAATTTGTTTTTTTTTAATAGTTAAAGTTTGCTAATAGAAACCAGATATTTTTCCTATAACAATCTTGAACCGTTTATTCAATGCCCTTCAAACTTATTTTTAGAATTTTTTTCTCACATGTTTGGCCATAATTATCAGTAGAAATTTATATTTTGTTTTCTTAATTCTGTATTGTTGTGGTTTATAGACAAGGAATTTACAATTGTTAACTGTAAGGTTATTAAAAAATATTTTTATCTCAATTCAAATTTTTGCACATTATACTAATCGATATTACTTTCTCATAAATAGATAATATGAACGCATATGAAGACTCGCAAATCTTATTTCTGGAGCTCCCGAATACAAAGAAGGAAAGTTATTAGGTGTACCTTCTCTAACTAACTCTAAAGGAGCAACTCAAGCTGAAGCAACGCTTGATCTGATACACGCCCTGTAAAAAAAAAGGGTTTTTTAAACAGCTCTAAAAGGTTTTTTACTTTGTCCCGAGGGTGGAACCCTTTAAGGGTTTTCTAGAAAACCCTTTTTTTAAGAACCTTTAACCCGAAACTAGAAAACCCTTTTTTAACTTGTACTTTCTTTTTTATTTGAATTATAAATTATTCAAAAATTTTTTATATTACGCAATAACTATTTCAAGCACGTATAAAGTTGGATATATATAACGTATAAAGTTTTATATTTAGGATAGATTGAATATACACTTTAATTTATACATAATATTGCTTATATGCAAATGTTTAGATTCTTTAATTCCACTGCAATTTGGCATGCAATATGAAAACTCAACAAAAAAACTTTTTTAATGATGTTTAAAATCTTATAACATTAAATTAATATACAAAAAAGTTTACGTAAAATAACAAAAACATCAGAAACATGTCAATAAATGTTGTACAAAAAAAAAAACAAATTGTACAAAACTAAAAAAATTGGAAAATAACGTTAAAATTATAATATGAAACTATTATGAGCAAATTTATTAAACTATTATGAGTTATCATACAAATTTTCTGCTACAAATTTAACTATTACAACTATTATATTTCAACGTTATAAGTGATATTGAAGTTTATTGAACGTTAAGACCTATTTTCAAAAATTAAATTGAGAAATCGCCTAGTAGCACAATAAAATATAATAAAATTTAGAAATATTGCAAATATTCAGAAGTTTTTTCGAATTTAGTGACAAAAAAACATAAATAAATTATAAAGATTTACAACAAAAACAGACAAAAAACAAAAGTCATAAATTTTAGTGCAAAAGACGGTTGCCCCGTTTGCTGACAAGATTTGGCACTTTTCCTTTCCCACCAAGAAGCACTTTTTCTAAAAATTGACATGTATTGGACAATCCTTTTGGGAATTCAATGCTGAATATTCAAAATGCTGCAAACCATGCTTGAAAAGCCGCGGAAAAAGTGCAAATAGTTTTAGGAAAGAAAACTTCTTTGTCGACTGATATATTCCACTCGTCGTCTTGTGACAATATGACTGGACTAAGTGGTATTTGCTGTTTAAATAAATAAATAAATATAATAATTAATTTCATTAAAAAAAAACCTGAAACAACTTAAAAACCCTTTAGTACAAAACTTTGAGAATCATTCAATTTTAAAATTTATTATTTGAAAACATTACCATATAATACAAATTATTGCGAACTCCTCAGCTAAAGGACATCACTTTTTAAAATTGTGTCCTTCGTATGAGAGTATTTACATGGACTTAAAATATTCAATAACTTATTTCCTCAAACCAGTAAACTTTTGCATTTCCTTAGATCTAATATTTCCTAATATTTCTTAGACCATCTTGTAATAAAATATATATTAGTTTATATAGTTAAATAAATAAGAAATATATTATATTGGAATCGACTATAAAAAATGGACTATAGAAAAAAAAAGATCAAGTGCAATTTCCTAAATAGTGTACAATGTACCAATAAACATCTACCTGCTTTGGTAAGGGAAAAAACAACTCTTCTTTCTCCCCAAATAATGAGGGTAACAGCAATGTAACAAACATCACCTTCCAATTTAAAAGTATTTATATCTTTAATTGTAAATATATGCAAAATAATACATTTGATAAAACTAGTATATATAAAATAGCAGTATTAGCACAGATGTGTAATGTATTAAGAAATGGTCAAATGTTTTCAAGTTAATCAATACTTGCTGGAATTACTCGTGGAATTACTAAATTCGTGTAACTCATTGCCTACTATAACTAGTATTAATTGATGTTGGAAAGTTACAACTTTTTATTTTACAACAAAACCAGAATTGTAAGAATGAAAAATAAAAATTAATAAAAATTACCCTGTTGTTTATCATTGTACAAAGTTTCTTCTAAATATTTGTTTATCATTCTTGAATATTCACAATATTTTTTGCATCCTTTGGCTGCTTCTTTGATCACAGCATCATAAAGGGTTAGAAATTTCATTTTTAAATTGGTTACATCTACACCATACAGCAAAAGCACATCTGCTGTAAACTTTAATTTAAAAAAATATTTGTAAAATTCACCTACATTATGTTATTACAAAAATAAGCCTATACTTTAAAATTTAAATGTTCATAAGGTAATAATTTTTATATAGTCTTTCATAACTGTCAAAGAAAGTCAATAAAAATATTGTAAAAAAAGTACATTTTATAAAAGAACAATAGTTCTTTATATAATCTTACAAAAATATTTAGTCGTAAACAGGGAAATTCTTCCAGAACTTCTGCAGTTGTGTGGGCATGGCAGAAAAGTTGTCTGTACTCACATGTTCTTTTCATTTTATCTTTGATTATATCAAAGCTTGGTGTCTGTTTTTTTATTTCTTTTTTTAAAGCATCTTGATGTTTTTTTATGCTTATGTCATCCTCACATTGTACCACATTAGCCAACTAATAAAAAGAAGTTACAACTGTACATAGAGTGGTATATTATCTTACAACAACCAGCTTGTGAACAGTAACCAAAATATACATTTTTGATATGATATACTTTTGACATCTAAATAATGTCACATTAAAGTAATTATACAAGGTTATAGCAAGTAATATGTATATACATTATTACATACCTTAACTCGAGCTGTTTTTGAGAGGGTAATGTTGTCAGGATGATTAATTTCAACTTGATCTACTTTTCGTTTTCTTCCCGAAACACCAGGCCTTCCAAATTTTTCTCTTGTTACAGCAATTGAATTTTCGCTACAAAGGGGTTGCCTGTATTTTTTAAATTTCCTTCGAAGAGCTACTCTAATAGTATTCTAAACTCAAATTACTTATTTAAAATGTGAAATAGACATATATATTAAATTTTACAATACAATTTTAATATTTAACAATTGATGACAAATATAAATATAATCAATAATATATAATGGTAATTGCATTACACTACTTCCATCATAATCAGCCAAAAAAGGATATTTTAATATAACTGCTGAGCTAACAGCAGAATATATTCTTCTGGTTGGATACCTGTATAAAAAGTTTGTCATAAAACATTACAAAATATTTAATATTGATATTATAATATAAATCTAGCAAAGTAAAGAACAAATTATTGTTTTAAATATGAAAAATAATTAATCATGAAAAAAGGATGTAATGAAAATTGAGAAATGGCAAACTCAGAGTCGGCAAAGTATAAAACAAGAACAATAATTTTCAACTTACAAAATGTCACGCCTTTTTAAGTCATCAAATAGTGCATCAATTAAGAGCGCTTTGCTTTTTGAGCCTAAACCAAAACTAGCCTTGTCTTGACATTGTAGCTTAGCTACAACATTATCCGGAAAAAGTGGCAACTGATATACAAAAGGAAATTCTTGCACCTGGCTACATAAATAAAATAATCTATCACAGTAATTCAAGCAAACCAGAGTAATTTCCTTAAATTACTCTGAATTAAATTACATCATTCAACTGTAATTAAAGTAAAGGTAAAAATATATTTTATAAAAATAAAATTTATCATTAAATGCATAATAGTTCATGAACACAAGTATTATTTAAATAATAAAGTTTTAAAATTAAATTAAAGTAAATTCAAATCAATGATAGAGTTTTATTAATAAAAAAAATATGTATATAAAGTAAAAATACTATAACAAACCTATGTACACATTCAGCTTCTTCAATTTCTGGAAAACTGCCACTGTTTGTTGTTTCGCCCTTTTTATTATTTACACTGATAACACTTGATACAACTGCAGTTTAGCTAGATTCAGAATTATCTAATGTTGCTGAAACAGATTGTTTTGTTGTTTTCAAAAGACGAATAAATTTTATCCGATCTTTTATTAATGGTAAAAGCTCTGCCAGCATTTGCTCTCTAAGGTCACATAAATAGTCACCAGTTAATTCATGCCTTATTGCAAATAAACAATAAGAACAATAGTTTTACTAAACATACATAATTTTCAAATAAACAAACTACATAAAATAAACAAACTAAATAAGTATTCAAATAATCATGTCCTTAAATTGAAGAGTAAGACGGATGCATAATGCTATATCTCATGCTCACATACTGAGAGTTGTTGAATTTAAAATAGTCATGCCGATTAAAATCAATAAAACATCCTGTTCTGCAAACTGTCCACTCATTTTCATTCAAAACTTGATAAGAATGCAAATGATGTGAAAAACAATTTGGTGTCAATAGGTTTCCACATAACAACCAACAGTCGCGTAAACAGACAATGTATACCACTTTAAAAAAAATTGGAACAGTTTCTTCTGTAACAGTATGCAACACATACACTGCTTTAATAGAATAGAAAATACTATCAACTGATATTGATTTCGCTATAACTATGGATTCATTCCCTTCTATATCTAAATTAAGTAACAATCTTATAGCTTCTTGTACTTAACATCCAAGTTATGAAAAAATCTATGTGCGTTTCAAGACACAGTATAATTAGATAAAAGCATATCATCTGTCAGCATTTCCCAGCACTGCAACATTTGATGACCCTTTGACAATGTTTTGGTAATATTCTTAAAACATCGTCCATTTGAGGAATTTTATAGACTAATTGGATTATTGAAAAGCAAAAAAAAAAAATATTGATGTTTAGATTCAAATCGTAAACACCAAAAATTTCGTAAAGGCCCAAAAAGACGTATCAGACGAGGGTAATGAACAAGCATGTGCATTTTTGGAATAATATATTTAGAACCAAATACTTCAGAAAATGTTTTCAAAAACATAGCAACTAGTTCTTCTAACATGTATATACCGTCACTATCTGCAATTGGAGCAATAACAATGTCACATATTTCACGAAGTATAAGATAAACCTCCCAGCCAATATTTCCATGTGGTACATCATTACCGACTAACTGCGGAAACAATAGGAAAAGTTCTAATTTCTGTACAGCTGTTCCATTTATGTGTGCTTTATCCGATGCAATGTTTTTAGGTAATTGGCAAGGGCGATTAGATGAATTAATTAAATGAATTTTGTTTATAGAATCGTTTATATTATTTACTGATAATGTATTACAAGAACGTAACAAATGTTTGATAACACATTTCAAAGTTACTGGCATAATGGCTTCAAAAAAATCATGCATTATATCTGGAGGGAAAGCTGTAAGTACATCAAAATTGTCTAACTCTAAAAAATCACACTTTTTGCTAACACCATACACATTCTTGTTTGCTGCATTATCAATTATAGCAGCTAAGTAGTATTCATGAATTTCTGGTGTTCTGAGACGAAGAGTGCTTTCACTAAAGTTATTTCCAATTTCTGACTTGTCCACCATACAGAAACGACAAATTCTTCCAGTATGGAAATACTACTGAAATCCTCCTATAGCATGAGCTGAAAGCATATCAGCTGATATACCTGTAAGTTTGCCTTTTAAACGTTAACGTAATCCATTGACGGAAACTTCAATTCCTTCTCTCTGCAGAACATTTAAATCATAAATTAATGGACGAAGAACTTCAGTGTAGTCATATTCGGCCATTTTTATAAATTTATGTTCAATCAATAAAGCCAAATGAATAAACTTTTGCTTTGAACGAAACTCAGATGGAATATTGCCTAACAAAAAAAAAAATGCAGTCACTTTATGCTTCCGTCGCTTAGCTCCTATTGGATTGCAAAGCTCAACTTCATCTACATATAACTGAATCTGCAATGCACTTGGATTTTCAGAAAAAAAATTGTCACTATGAAAAAGTTCACGGTCACAAAAAGACATAAAATCATTATTAGAAAGAGACTGATTGTAACTGTCACCCAAACAATTGTAAACATCTTCATGGGAAACTAATTTTGATAAAACTTCCAGAATTTGAATGTATTGAAAAACAGCAGTTGTATTATTTATTCTAAAATCTATTTGTCTTGGCATTGCAATCATTTTTTTGCTTTTCAATAATCCAATTAGTCTATTTTCATTTGAAGACATCTCACCCATGAATTGCAGCAATCTTTCTGTGTCTGTTATATGTGCCCGATCATTGTCTAGTGGTAAAATATTATTTTTGAATAAATATTGACATATAACATCCTTAAAACTACAGTTTTTTAAAAAAGAGGCTGATTTTCATGAAACAAGATAAGATGTCGTAAATACTTTCCGAATGAAAAATAATTGTTGCTACATTCACAATAAAATTGGGGCATATTTGGCTATTGTATATTATCAGGAATCCGAAATGTAAACAGTACAATTAAAATGTTTACTATAAAATGCATAATAATAAAAAAATTACTTTCAAATTCGGCTGCAGTCTTTTCATTAAATCCATTATCTAACAGCCATTTGGCTACTTCTGCAGGCGACCAGTTTTTAATATTTGCAGACATAATTTTTTAACTTTATTATTAGTTTTACTTTAAATTTTAATTATTAGCTTTACTTTAAAATTGTAAAAATATTTTAATTGACCTATAGGAATCTCATAGATATATCGGTTAACTTAAAAAGTATATAATTTTGCGTATTTTACTTTAAAAATTTTAACAAAATACAATTTTAAATATAATAAAATAAAAATACTGTTTATTTTATTTTAAATTTCATATTTCCAGGCAATTGTAATTTTATTTAAAACCCTTTCTATTTTTATCCTTCTTTAATTATGCCTCGATATCAATAAACGGCACACGAGTTTTTTATATGATTTACGACGAACAAACCCTTTGCTAAAGGGTTTTCTAATAAAACCCTTTTAAAAAACCTTTTTTTACACACAAAAAGGTTTTCTAGTGGTAGAAAACCTTATGCAAGTGAGAAAAACCTTTTTTGGAAACCTTTTTTTTTTACAGTGCGTAATCTTTCAGACAGAGATGAAGCTCTCGTGTTTGATACAACAGCTAGCAAAAGTGGTATACACAAAGGAGCTGTTAAGTTAATGGAAGTAAGTCTAAATAAAAAGTTACTCTATTTAGCTTGCCGTCATCACATTTTAGAACTTGTTGTTGGTGCTGTATGGAAATTATTATTTGGTGACATTTTAGGTCCGGAAAACAAACTATTTGCAAAATTTAAAGATGTATGGACTAACCTGAATAAAGTTCAACCAATACAAGTACTGGATACTAAAAAACGAATTGTTGTTAAACATAAAAAATAAAGTTGTTAAAGAACTTATAGACATGCTATCTTGCAAAAATTCAACAACTTTTCCAAGAGATAATTATCGTGAATCTTCTGAAAACACTCTAATCATCTTAGGTGAAACTCCCCCACGTGGCGCCCACTTTTTTAAACCTGTGAGGATGCATCAAGCACGTTGGATGGCCAACAACATATATGCTGGAAAGGTGTATATGTTTTCCAAACAGATGCAGTATGATGATGACAGGGTTGCTAAACTTAGAGCAGCCGTGGCGCAGTGGTATCGCACTTGCCTCAGAAGCGTAAGACCCGTGGTTCAAACCCCACCTCTGGGCAAGTTTTGCGACATCGGTTGGGAAGGAGGCGTGAACTTCCCATTCAATGCTCTTCCGCGGTGCTCTGTGATATCTTGGGGCACATCTTGGGGCACTTTAATCACCTTAAAAAAAAAAAAAAAAAGCTCATGCGTATGAATAGATTTTCGGCTTATTTCTACACTCCTGCATGGATAAAAACATCATGGGGATTGGATGCACCTATGAATGACCTCCTGTTTATTCATGACATGATTGATTTTAGAAGTGTTGGCAAAGATATTGCTGACATTTTAATTAACAAACTCTGTAATCGTTAAAGGTATTTTTTAGAAGAAGTTGTGCCATTTGCTTTATATAGTAAACACCCTTTGATGACACATGTACTAAAGAAAGAAATAGCGGATCAATTGCTTTTGACTCCATCCCCAGAAAACTTCCGCCTTGGTAAATTAGTATTCAAGAAAATCAATCGTGAAACAACTTTGACAAGTTTGATTGGACCTGAATCTCATTCATTGTTCCACATTTAAAAAGTAAGCATTGGTTGGCTTTCCAAACCAGTGGAGCAGTGGAATTCAGGTTTTTAGAGTTGCAGAACAATTTGTTTGTACAGTAAAAGTTGTCAACTATGCAGCGGAGCGTGGTGTCAAGTTAATCTTGGATTTTGCTACAATCATTTCAACTAATATTAAGCAAAGGGCATGATTTTTGCAGGGTGTTGAGCAGCAGAGAAAGTTATATTCTAGTTTCTATAAAAAGACACTAAATTTGTGAAACTGTAGTGTAGTACTAAGAACTATATGAGTTTTTCTTTTTTTTTAAGTAGAAATGTTAAATGCAACATCAATGCATTACTGTTTTTTTTTTTGTAGATCTGATTACCTTTATATTAAGCATGATTTTGTTTAATTTATGCTATTATATCTATAAAATTAAAACATTTTATAATGCAAAAGATTTTAGTTTTCGCTCGAAAAATAGGGTTAAAATTTGAAGACCTCAGGATCTTTTGTCAAAAATCTATAAAAATGATTTTTAGACATGTTATTGATAGCATAATGGGAAAAACTTCACTTCACGACATTTTAACACTTCACTCTAATCCTGGACAACCCTAATATATATATATATATTTATATATATATATATATATATATATATATATATATATATATATATATATATATATATATATATATATATATATATATATATATATATATATATATATATATATATATATATATATATATATATATATATATATATATATATATATATATATATATATATATATATATATATATATATATATATATAAATTCAATTCAAATCAAATCAATTTCCTAAATATTAACATTACAAACTCAGGCTCTAAAACTTATGAATTTCAATTACATAGAAAAGAAGCTATTACA